CCCCAAAACCCCAAAACCCCAAAACCCCTTGGTGGGAGGAGTATGTTGAAATATTTTATTTGTGGTGGAATTAGTCAAATAAAGGCATTAAGTACCAAGTAATTTTAGTAAATAGTCACATTTAAGTACCCAAATTTGCTTTTTCTTTGGCCAGATTCTATTTACTGTCATTACTCTTCTCTCAGGCCAGATTGTCACATTGAGTATGCAATTGCTCAGTGTGGACTCAGCCATCTTCTGCATCAATCTATCTAAATATTTATTGTCTTCTTCAGGCTGGATTAATGTATTATACACTAAACAGAGATGGTTGATCAACGTATGGATATCTTTAGTATCTTCCACATGATCAAGGCAGTCCAAATTATCAATGTAAATGTTTTATCCTTTAAATGACAATTCCTGGGTGTTATTTTATGATATGAGGATTCTTCAAAAATCTTTGTGTGATACAGTCTGCTGGAAACCGATCATATTTTGAAGAAAGCTATATCAACCAACTATGTTTCCATCGGAGTAAGTTTGAGCACACTCTTGATCCAAAAATAACCCCGAACTAAATCTGCCTGACCTCCTTGAATTGGAACCCATCTCAGTTTGCTTCCTTTCATTTGGCTCAGAAGCTTGGTGCAGTAATTCATATACTGAATGTGTGGTTTTCCTTACTCAATCTTCAGTAAATAAATAGAATTCAACTTAGAAAGTTGAGGATCCAGATTGACTATCCTCTTTAAGGTATGTCTTCATTTTTCATCGTCCTAAGCCAAAAAATACCATCTGGGTGAATCTTACGATAATGTGTTTATAATTCATAGAGTCTGGCAAACTCCTATTCTGCTTCTCCAGTTGATCAACCTTCTGCTGGAGTTCATACGCTGTGTGAGCCTTTCTTCCCTTCAGCTCACATTCTAGGTTGGAGCATGTCTGCCCCCATTTTATTTATTATAAGGTCGACGATCTTACGGCTAGGGGTTTTGGGGTTTTGGGGTTTTGGGGTTTTGGGG